ATATAAGGTATGGAAGACAAAATGCAGCAACTGGAAAAAGTCACAGATATGGAAAAAAAACACTTAAACTATGCCAAAGGAAAGTCCAAGAACAAGCAGACAGTGCCAAGAAATTCAACCTTCATGTAATTGAGGTGGACAAAGGTGAGGAACACCAGAATAAAAGAATGCAGCACTTATTCAATAAGATTAACACCGAAAACTTCCTCAGTCTTAAAAGAGAAAATCTTAGCATACAGAACATCTAACAAGCAGGATCTCAGGAGGAATCTAGTCACATTATAGTAAAAATGATAGATCTGAATACTAAAGAAACAATCTTACATGCAGCAAAAAAAAAACAAAGAAGCAGCTATATTATAATGGGAAAAATCAGAATCACTGCAGATCTCTCTACACAAACACTGAATGCAAGGAAAGCCTGCGAAAGGACCATCCAAACCCTGAGAACCAATAACTGCCAACCCAGACTGGTAAATCCAGTGAAGCTAGCATTCACAATTGATGGAGAAACTAAAATTTTTAATAGTAAAAAAAAAAACTAAACAAATTCATAAACAATAAGCCAGCACTACAAAGAATTTTAAGAGGAAAATACAACCTGAAGAAAACAATCAAGACCAGGGTTCCACATCAGATAGATATCACTAGAAGTCCAACTTAGTAAGCACAGGAGGAAAGGAAAGAAGAAAAACTTAGGAAAGCAGGAAAATGACAGGAAATACAATGCATCTCTATATAATAACCATAAATATTAATGGGCTCAATTTATCAATCAAAAGAAAAAGAACTGCAGATTGGATCAGAAAACAAGATCCATCCACTTGTTGCCTTCAAGAGACCCATCTCACAGCCAAACATTAAAACAAACTCTGAGTGAAGGGATGGAGGAAGATCCCAGCAAGAAGGCAGAGGTTGTCATGCTGATATCTAACAAAATAAGCTTTTCATTAAAATCAATACAAAAAGACAAAGAAGGACACTATATATTAATACAGGGAACAATCCAAGAAGAGGATAATACCATTATCAATTTATACTCCCCAAACATTGGTGCACCCAAATATATTAAGCAAATACTCTCAGACTTATAGAATAAAATGAATCAAAATATAACAATACTAGGAGACTTTAATACTCCATTCTCAGCAAAGGACAGGTCTACCAACTAGAAGATTGGCAAAGAAGCCTCTGAATTAAATGATGCCATATCGCAAGTGGAATTAATTGACATCTACTGAGTTTTCCACCCTACAACAACCCAGTACAGTCTTCTCAGCAGCCCATGGAACTTTCTCCAAAATAGACTGTATCACAGTTGTTACTAGGAATGTAAGCAAATACAAGAGGATTGACATAATCCCCTGCATTCTGTCTGACCACAGTGGAATCAAGCTAGTCCTCAATAACAAAGCATACCATAGAAATTACTCAAGTACATGGAAATTGAACAGCACACTTCTGAGCAACACCTGGGCCACAGAAGAAATTAAAGAAGAAATTAAAAAGTTCCTACAATTCAATGAAAATGAATATATATCACAAAGAAACCTGTGGGACACAGCAAAAGCAGTCTTGGGGGCAAATTTATTGCTCTCAGTGCACACATCAAACAAAATAAAGAAATTAAGTAAATAATTGCATGTTACAACTAAAACTGCTAGAAAAGCATAAAAAAATTGAACTTAAAGTTACCAGACAGAATGAGATAACCAAAATAAGAGCTGAAATTAATGATATATAGACTAAGAAAACTATAAATAAAATTAATAAAACAAAAACTGTTTTTTTTTTTTTACAAAATCAATAAAATTGATGGACCTCTGGCAAGATTAACTAAAAAAAGAAGAGACCCAAATCAATAAGATCAGGGATGCCATGGGAAAAATTACAACTAACACCCAAGATATCCAAACAAAGATAATGAACTATTTCCAGAATCTATACTCACTAAGGAAGGAAAACCTAGCTGAAATGAATGAATTTTTAAGAAATACAAATTGCCCAAATGGAACCAAGAAGAAATAAATCAATTAAATAAACTAATAACTTACAATGAGATAGAGGAAGCAATCAAAAGTCTTCTAACAAGGAAAAGCCCAGGATCAGATCAATTCACTACGGAATTCTATAAGAACTTTAAAGAGGAACTAATACCCATATTCCTCAAACTCTTCCAAGAAATAGAAACAGAGGGAGCTATCCCAAACTCATTCTATGAAGCCAATATCACACTCATCCCCAAACAAGGAAAGATTCAACAATAAAAAAAGAGAACTACAGACTGAGCTCCTTGATGAACACAGATGCAAAGCTCCTCAACAAAATTTTAGCCAAAATTTTGCCCTCTCTCACCACTCTTCTTCAATACAGTTCTAGAATCCTTAGCCAGAGCAATAAGGCAAGAAAAAGACATTAAAAAGATCCACATAAAGAAGGAAGAAGTTAAACTATCCCTTTTTGCAGATGACATGATATTATACCTCCATGATCCCAAAAACTCCACCCTCAAACTCTTAGAACTTATAAACCACTTCAGCAAAGTAGCACAAAAATCAATTGCCTTTCTGTACACCAACAACGTACAAGCAGAAAGGGAAATCAAAGAAACAACCTCATGCACAATAACCTCAAAAAATTATTTAGGAATTAACCTAACCAAAGATGTAAAGGAACAATTTAGTGAAAACTATAAAAGCCTAAAGAAAGAAATCATAGAGGACACCAGGAAATGGAAAGACCTTCCATGTGCTTGGATAGGCAGACTTAATATAGTGAAAATGACCATACTGCCAAAACTGATATACAAATTCAATGCAATTCCCATTAAAATCCCAATGACATACTTTACCGAAATAGAGGAAACAATCAGACAATTCATATGGAACAACAAAAGACCTAGAATAACCAAAGCAATTCTAGGCAAAAAAAATCAACATGGGAGGGATCACAATACCAGACTTCAAACACTACTATAGAGCCATAATAACAAAGACAGCTTGGTACTGGCACAAAAACAGGTCTGAGACCAATGGAATAGATTAGAAGATCCAAAAATAAAACATATGCTCACAGTCAGCTGATATTTGACAAAGGAGCCAAAGACATACAGTGGAAGCATAGCCTCTTCAATTATTGGTGCTGGGAAAACTGGGCAGCCTCATGCAGAAAATTAGAAAAACCTAAAACCCCAGCCTGTCTCAGTGCACTAACATCAACTCAAAATGGATGAAAGACCTTAACATCAAACCTGAAACTCTGAAACTACTGCAGGACAGAGTAAGAGAGACACCTGAACTTATAGGCACAAGCAGAAACTTCATGAACAGAGTCCCAGGGTCACAACAAATTGGAGAGAGATTCAACAAATGGAACTACCTTAAAATAAAAATTTTCTGCACAGCTAAAGACATAGCAACCAAACTAGAAAGACAGCCAACTAATTGAGAAAAAAAAGTATTTACCAGCAATATATCAGACAAGGGGTTAATAGCCATTACATACAGGGAACTCAAGAAACAAATCCCTCCCAAACCTAACAAACCAATTACTAAATGGGCAAAGGAACTAAAGAGAGACTTCTCAGAAGAAGAGATAAAAATGGCAGAGAAACACCCCTGGCTGTAAAGGAAATACAAATAAAACAACCCTGAGATACAACCTTACCCCAGCCTGTATCTTACCCCAGACAGTGGCAAATGCTGGAGAGAATGCAAAGAAAGAGGAACCCTATTGCACTGCTGGTGGGAATGTACACTAATACAACCACTTTGGAAAGCAGTCTGGAGCTACCTCAGAAAGCTAAATATAGACCTCCCCTATGACCCAGCCATACCACTCCTAGGCATCTACCTTGAGCAACAGGAGCCAGGATACAAGGACACATGCACCTCCATGTTCATTGCAGCACTGTTCACAATAGCCAAGATATGGAAACAACCCAGATGCCCCACCACAGATGAATGGATCCAAAAATTGTGGAACCTATACACAATGGAATATTATGCAGCTATTAGAAAGGACAAAATAATGGCATTCACAGGGAAATGGATGGAACTGGAAAAAATCATTTTGAGTGAGGTAAGCCAAGAGCGAACAGCACATGGTCTCCCTGGTATGTGGATGTTAAATACAAAATGCAAGGAGATACGACAAAGTAAACAGGACTCAAGAAGCAAAGAACCTCTACTTATCTTGTCATATCATTACTAAATGACCCTATGCTGTTGACCACATATACACACATGCACGTATCTGAGGGAAACAAGGAGGACACAGAATCAGAGGGAAACAGGAGAAAACATACAACAGAGGGGCCCATCACCTGCACTGGACATTAATCAAAATGAACTAAGCAACTCAAGGGCAGAGATGGGAGGGAGGGAATGAGAGGGATAGAGGGAACAGCTAACCCTAAGCAAAAGGAAAGAAATTTACATATGTGGAAGAAATAGCTGTATTGTGAAAGCTCATAGAACTCACAAACTTTATAGGCCATGATCATGAAAATTTGCCTCAGGAAGGCTAGAATGTATTTGTGACTTTAACTAAGTATCACTATCTCATGATACTGTAAGATTTCTGAAATTTATGTAATCACTTCATCACAATAAAAAAAAACTTTTGTATCCACATTTTTTTGGGGGTCCAGTCCTGGGGCCTGAACTCTGGGCCTGGGCACTGTCCCTCATCTCTTCAGCTCAAGGCTAGTGCTCTACCACTTGAGCCACAGCGCCACTTCTGGCTTTTTCCTTTTTGCTTATGTGGTGCTGAGGAATCAAACTCAGGGCCTCGTGCATGCAAGGCAAGCACTCTACCACTGAGCCACATTCCCAGCCCTAAAACAATTTTTTTTTAAAAGAAAACGTTTGCAGGGCTGGGCATGTAATTCAGCAGCAGAATGCTTGCTTAGCAATTATCAGTCCTGGGGTTCAATCCCCAGCACTGCAACAAAGAGAAAAGGAAGGAAGGAAGGAAGGAAGGAAGGAAGGAAGGAAGGAAGGAAGGAAGGAAGGAAGGAAGGAAGAAAAAAAAGCAAGCAAGCAAGCAGCTCTTTAAAAAACCTTAGAATTTGGGATTTGGGGTGGAGAGAATACATTAACATATTTGTGCGATGTTAGAAAATAACTAGGGGATATAAAATATAATAACAGCCACATTTTTTTAAAGTTAAGTTAAAATTCTCATGGGTGCTTCAACAACACACCAGTTCCACATAACCAGAACTCCTGTTCTGGTTAAGAATATTATTGAACAATCCTCTGGCCTTGAAGTTCCACTCTTGAATCAGCAGAGGTGATCTCAGATAAGTAGGAGGTCAAGAATAGTGGGCACCATGACCAGAAGCCAACTTGTCATCCATGTTACTCCAGTGGATCTAGCTGAAAGAGCAAGAAAACAGATATAAACATGTAGGCATCTTGATTGATGTATTGATGAGGGATAGGAGTACTAGATGTTGGTATGGGAAATCTTAAAGCAAGGAAAGCAGTCTTTTGTAGCCTGAATCTAATCCTTATGTGTCTGGAACATCTTCTTCCTTACAAAAGCTCAGCTTCCCCAGATACAAAGCAGAAAGAGTACAGAAATCTATTAAATATCACTGGCTGAGCTGAATCCTGTGCTTGAAGGTTATCTTGTGGGCCTGGGAAAGAATCAGTCCCATACAGTAATGAGGGAGGACAGAGTTTTAGGTGTAGATAGATGACTCTACAATGTAGCACATAACTAATTCTTGGGAAGCAAAAACCTTGCCCTCTCCTGTTTCTCCATCCCACTAACCATCTATACCAACTGGGAGTCAGAAGGGCAACTGAAATAGGAAAGAAAGGAAAAGGAATAGGAAGGGAAGAAGAACAACAGAAAGAAGGGAGAAATCATAAGTAAAGGGGAATGAGTTATAAAATAGGGTAGATTAGTGATTTTTTAAACAATAATACAGTAGTACAAAGTGACAAGATTGATTTACCTTTCCCTCAAATTGAAGTATTTACATTGTTGCTTTTAGCCTCTCTGAAGAGGAGCAGCCCCTCCCATTTTATGAGACAGGATTGGGTGTCTTCTTTTTTCTGGATCTCAGAATGTGGTATTGATATGAAGTAGTGTTGGATTTGTCCAATCTAACTGTGGTCTCATGGCCAGACACCAATGTTTGATGGTAGAAGAATAGGGTGTACTGGTAGAGGCCAGAAAGACAGACTCTTTAACTGGGAAGAACATACAAATTTCATAAGCCAGGTGTGGAAACAGAGGTCAAGAAACCAGCACAGATGAAGGAGAAGACAGAGCCCAGGAAGACCATGAAACTATAATGCTCCCAGGAACCAGGATACCTGAGGCCTGGGTATGACAGAGATCACAGGAAAGTGTTGATCTTACAAGCTATTCTGGGGAACAATATATTCCAGGGCTCAGAAAAGTCACTTTATGGTATGGAAGCATGAGGCCAGAGTGCCAGAGATTGTGATCCAAATTTATTAAGAGGCCCTTCATATCTGAGAGTCTCGACTTGAAGGAGCTAAACCTGATTTAGTTTCCTTTCATTAAGGACTTGTGAGGCACAGTGTTGGATAGAGTACACATCTTGTCTAGTTTATTTCTCTTAACATAATAAGATCTGTTTTTAAGTCTTAAATTTTAAAAGGGTATGACTTGTTTAGTGTAAGGTAAATTAAAGAGTTAGGTTTAATTAGGTAGCCATGAGGTATTCAGGTAAGAAGAGACATTTATTTTATTACTGAACTGCTGCCCCACCGTGCATCATGGAGAGGTGTGGCCAAAAGGTCATGCCCATGTCCTGCCTGGGTTTAAGTAGGGAATGGGTGCAGCCAGGTAAGGGAAGATGTGGACACACTGAATATAGATGTGACCTCAGGACCTGGGACCCTCCCCCAGTCTGACGGGAGGCATGGAGGGGGGGTAGGGGCCCAAGATGTAACCTTGGAGTAGGGGGAAGTGAGTGCTTCCAGGTATGCCAGTTACCTGGTGATATAGATACTGTGCAGAGACTTTTGCAGGAGGCAAGGAGGCCAGGGCCTACATGGCCCTGGGAAGACCTTACATTTAAGACTAAGTGACAATACAAGATTGACCCTCAGATGGGACCATGACTCTAGCTGCCTGACATAGAGCCTATGTAGCACAGAAGTGGCTCACGATGTCCTATGATTACCCAGGACTCAGATTTTTCAGAGTGTGCATTGTCAGAGTGGGGGAAGAGGAGGGAGTACCAGAGATCTTATGCCAAATGCCCTTTGCAGGTAAGGACACTGAGATCCACAAAGGCAAAGTAAACTGGCAGGGAGTAAACCAGGAGTAGAACTCAAGTCTCTCAAGCCTCCCAGACCACTTTGGAACGCTCCACCATATTCTGTTGCAGAAGGGTGATTAGCATCTCCACACTTTTTTTCAAAGACAGTCATCTTATGTTCATCTTAGCTCCTTTGGAGACATTTCTTACCTAGAGTACAGGGTGGAGTGAAGTAAAGTGTATTATTCTTGCTGCTTAAAAGATTGCTGACTTGACAGGTATATGACTTGGATTGGTTGTGTGGCGTCACAGTGACTTCAAGTGTACTTCTCTGGAGTTCCATGGGAAAGGGGCCTGAGTCCTTATACCAAAGGTAGTCCACAAACGGGTCCTCTACCACACAGGATAGTTTTAGATAACAGTTGCCATCCGATTCTTCTATCTTCTCAATGTTTATGGTAGGCGTGGGTACCGGGTCTGCAAATAAGCAGTATACATGTTATAGAACGAGATAATGGGTTTTTGCATTTATGAGGCATTTATTCTTGAAGGTTTCACCAACAACGTGCAAATGGAACTAGGGGAGGGACTATGATCATGGCATAGTGGCTCCAACAGAGGGAGCCAGTGAGCAGCCTTGCTCTCAGGTGACTTCAAACTGCAAGAATTACTACTTGGCTGTGTGCAGGAGAGGGAGCCAGATTCCATTACAGGCAACCAGGAACAAAATGGAGTGATGGGCCACATATGAGCAGAAACCTGGAGTCAGACTTGACATACCAAATTGTCTGAAATACCTAGGCCCTTGCTCTAACAGCTGCACTTGGGGGCCAGTCTGTCCCTCAGGTATTCTTGAACTCAGATTCAGGGAAAGTCCAGAGGTAAAATGTCCTGCACATGGCAAAGCCCTCTGCAGAGCCACCTGGAGGAAATTCCATCTCCCTGGACTCTAATAGAGCTACAGAGATACTTCCTGTAACCTCTAACACATTCAAGTGGTGAATGGTTGGTTGACTTTGACAGCACAGTGTCTGCCACATTTTCTTTCTTTTCTTCCTTCATTTTTCTTTCCTTCCTTACTATTTCTTATTCCTTCATCCCTCCTTCCCTCTCTTTCCCCTCCTTCCCTTCTTCCTTTCTTTTCTTCCCTTCCTTCTTTCCTTCCTTCCTTCCCTCCTTTTGCTCCCTTCCTTCCTTCCTCCCATCCTTCCTTCCTTCCTTCCTTCCTTCCTTCCTTCCTTCCTTCCTTCCTTCCTTCCTTCCTTCC